GATGTCTAAGACAAAAGGCGTTCTCCATTTTTACCAAACACAAGGTATCTCGAACAGTGGAACGACCTAACAAGTGTCATCAAAAAGTCACCATTGCACAATCTACGCCCGCACTTCGCCGCCCAGTCACCATCAACCAATTAATGCGGCATCAGACATTATGACCTTTCGAGCCAGAGCCTTCAAAGCTCCTCGGACACGCCATTACTCCAACAGTCCTAGCACCATACAAAGATGACTCGGCCAATCAGCTGTCAGCACGTGTAAAGTAAGGTTTGAACCAATACTGCATGCACTCGGCTGCAATTACCTACGCCCCGTAAACACTCTATAAACAATAGTGATTCCTACCAAACGAAGGTACCCAACTTTTCATACTCTAAAAGTCAATAGGACTATACTCTATTTTTCTCTTTAGATTAACTAGAAACAATAACTGACTTTAGAGTCGAAAGGTATGCCGGATGAAACAACCTCAGGTGCCTCTAACCTCTGTTATTTGTGTAGCGATGAACAACGCAAATATCCAAAACGGAGAATCAACCATCAAAGGCGATTAAGAGACCCAAAAAATTAAGTTTAACCCTCGTAAATCACGTATCAATTTCGCAACGTAAATAAGAAATGTCCCTCCCTTTGTTTACATTATCTCATTAGAAATTTGTTCAAATCACCGGATATCTCTCCTAACCTTTTCTTTAGCAAAGGTATGGAGCTGTGATTTATTGATAATAAAGATACATGGGAATTAAGAGACGAGAAAGAAATAAACTCTTGTTTAATATCTTCAAAGGAAAATGATATAAGATATCTCTCCTTCAACCTCAATCTTATCTGATCACTTATCTGAAATTTTCATCTTTAATGGCCTGTTTGGATGGAGGGTAGAGAGGGAGAGGGGGGAAATGTAATTTTAACATTGTTTGGAAGTTGCATTTAGAAGGGTAAATGAGGGGAACGGGGGAAAACTTATGCCAAAATGTTATACCCCAAATTGGGGGGTAATGAAGGGGAAGGGAAGGAAAGGGATTTTTCCCCTTCCTTCCCTTCCTTCTCTTTCATAAGTGAACTCCCAAACATAGTCTAAGCCTATTGCAAGTACCGATGGCTGTGAGAGAACCGTCTTTGAAATGTAAGCAACCATTTTTAGCATGAGTGAGCTTTAGTATCCTATTAAAGACAATTTGGTGGAAAGAGAGGGACTTTTCTTGATTTGGATGCTTCAATTGTAGCCATGCAACTAGAGCAATGCAGGGCCGTGAATGATGGAGATTACAAATGATGATAGCTACTGATGATTGTGATGGGAAATGATAGTTGTTGGATGGGTAAATATTGCTTTAGCTCTGGATTGGCTTAGAGCTTTTACTTGTATTAATATCTCCCGCGAGAAGAGTTGATGTTATTTTGGGATTGAAGAGGGTTGGAAGCTCTGCAGTATTCGAAAGGAGAAAATGTGGATTGGAGAGGAATCAGGATGTTCCTCAGCTGGTATTTGCGTTTAGTTTAAAGAGAATGAGGTCATTAGCAAGCTTAATTTATCAATTCTTTTATAAGGAATTAGGTTACAATGGCACGCTTAAGTGCTATTATATGTTGCCCCGAGATGAAAAGTTCAATCAAGTCAAGTGGCTGGTCTTGAGGAAATTTTTAAGTATTATCTCTTTCAGTTGAATACATAGGCAGCTATTTTACTAAGAATGGTGAGTTTTAAGGATAGAGATTAATCATTTAGTATACTAGCACGACACTTTTGCAACTGAAATCATGCAATGAGGTATGCTGAGCTAGTTTAGGAGAGATCATAGTCATGTACCACTTCAGTTGTTTTTTAATGTAGGTATTTGGTCTTATTAGAGTTCGGTTGACATTTTTTGTTAAAGAACCGGAAACAAAAGGGGGAGGGGGAGAGAGAGCTACTTCAGGCTCACACTTCGGAGGAGGGAAACATCTATACGATCTCCATAAGAAACGGTATTAATGGATGAAAGAGCACTATCGAAGATTTGAACTGGAACGGCTAAGAATTCTTCTTTCTATGGTAGCATGTTTTAATCATTTAAAATATATTTATCAACTATAACATTTTTCTAAATTTTTATTAATAGATCATATGGTTATATCAAGAATTTGCTGATGTACCTTTAATCAAATACTAATTCTTAAATATATGATACTCTAATAACACTCCCATGGCCGCCCCTTATATATGATAATATTTAAAGTTTTATAAACTTCCAACAATAATCAATTAGACATATATTTGATGTTGTGGTTGCAAAACAAATATCTGATTGGACCCATGGCCGCCCCTTATATGTAGAGAAAAGAACTCGAGAAGATATATTGAGGAAATTATGCAGCATCATTTATACTAAGTGATCAGTGGTTTTCTTTTCCAAGAACAAGAACATACATGTGAAAAAAATGGTGATATTTTATTTCATTGGCCAAGCAAAAGAGAGAGATATTTTATATATGTGTTGAGGAAAACGTGAATACCATTCTAATGAAAATCTTTTAACTCAATGAATCTATGACTCGATGGCGTTCAAAGGATATGGTTAACCTATCCAAATCATAAAAGATCAATGCAGGGATTTTTGTTTCCTTTGCATGGAATAAATTATTCCTTGCACAACGATCCCAATTCTGTGGATTAACATTAATCCGTAACTATAATTTTGTGTTGTAGTCTACCTTTTAGCAAAAGAGCGACGTCCTTTGTCGTTCACAAGCACAGTGACAGAAACGTCAGCTTTCTCTCCTTCTCATAGAAAAAGTCATTTCCTAAAAGTTACTTCCTAATCTGTTCTGCACTGGTCCCATGGAGCCAGAGCAAAAAGCTGCTTGGTTTTTTTCTCTTCAATGATTCAGAGATCCTTACTAAGTATACAAAGTTAAAAATATAAAAATAAAAAATTTTACTTTTAAAGAGCGTTTGGTTCACTGTTTTTATAAAAAAAAATTATAGAAAATATCTGACAATAGCATTTCTGTAAATAAAAATTTCTGTAGATTTCTATAAATTGTGTTTAGTTCAAAAAAATTTACAGAAAAGTTTTCTATAAAGTATAAAAACGTACCACATTTTATGAAAAATCAAATTCCTCTCAAAATGGTCTGAAATCAAGCAGAAATCTGACACTCTTCTTTTTAAAACAATTTCTTCCCTACATGTACCCATTTTCCCAGGCGCAAACATTTCTTGCGGTCGATTGAGGGCGAAAAATCTAGGGTTTTCTTCCCTCTCGTTCCCGCCCCCAAATCCAGAAATGAACCAACTCCTTCGCGCCTTTAGTCTTCCTCCTGATCTCGTGCTCAGGTCTTTTCGTCATTATCGATTGCTCAAGCTCGAGTTTCATCGATTTCCTCCAATCTGGGTTTTTTGCAGTGCGGTTGATTTGGAGGTTCTTGATTATTCGGTTCTCTAGTTAAAGAATCGATTTTTGTTGATCGATACCTCATCGGACTTCTCGAGTACTCGGTTTTGCGCTGATTTGAGGTGAAAAAACCTAAACCTCTTTTCGATCGGCAGATTTATGGGTTGAAATATGGCCGAAATTTTTTTCGATTACTTCAATTTCTTCAATAGTGCTCAGGCTTGTTCATTTCTTCAATTTTCTTTAATGAACTGTTTATGGTGCTCAATTTTTTTTAATTTCTGCAGTTTATTTCGACCTATGTAAATGAACCAAACCCTCTCCATTTGTTTAGTCTCACATGCTAGGGGTGAATTTGTTAGGCTAGTTTATGATAAGATGGGCGCTAACAATGACATTCCTCTTGATGATGATGATGGAGAAATTCCAATTGAGACTGAAACTGAGCCTCAATTTGATGCTAACACTACCTCAAACTCCACTTCTAAAAAATCCCAGCATGAGTCTAACATAAAGTCTTCCTCAAACAAAAAACCTCAAAAATCCAATAATGATGAATTGATACGTAGCTAATTGATACGTAGCTTTGTTGAGCCAATGTCGGAATCAATTAGAAGCCAACACATAATATATTGGATTGAGCAGTTAGTTGTAGGTTTGAAGACCCATAGTGACTCATACAATAATGAATTCCTCGACAAGGTCTTAGATCATTTGTATAAAAGTGAGCATGAGGCAAGAAGGTTTTTTTATCAAAATGAAGGAGGCACAGAAGAGGTTTATTGCAAGTCTTGCGGTGGCCCAATGATGGGATACATCTTCCCTTTGATGGATTTATGTAATCTTTCAGGTTTTGTGATCTTTTGGGCAAACTCCACTTCATTTTTCTACTTTACATCATTTTCATAAACCCTACATTCATGTTGCTAATTCCTAAATCCCTACACATACTTATATTTTGGGCAAAATGGTCAAATTGGTATATTTTATAGACACTCGGTGACATACTAGTATATTTTTTTACTTTTGACAAACTGGTATCCGGCGCCATATACCCCTTTAAGTTTTGCTAGATTGATTTTTTCGGCCAATTTTCTCATGTAATGGCTCACGTGGTGCTGAGCTAGAGGGGATTTTTTGCACAAAACCCTCTCATCATATAACACATCATGCTCCTAAACCCCCCTTCTCCTCCTCCTCCTCCTCTCCCGCCTCCTCATCCTCTTCAACCTCTCTCCATCACCCACGCCCGCTAGCTAAGCAAGACCCTCAACCCCTACTCTTCCTCCTCCTCTCCTCGATATGTTTCTCCAATCCCCCTTTCCTCACTTCTTAAGCCCCATCAGGAGCAGCTTATGTTCCTCCTCGGTTCAAGGAACTCCCTTCTTCCGCTCCTGATCAGAGAGCCTGTCGCCAGATCTCTTCCCACCGACACAATAATATTGCTT